AAATTAAGTATATATTATGTATAAATACTTTTAATCTATAAAAAATATGTTATATATTTTAAACTTTGACTTATGCAATGTAAATGTGTAAGAACCTCACCCCTCAACCATATATTTCTGGCTCCGCCACTGTCACCATTTGAGCTAATACATAATTACTACTCGAACTTTCCTCTCTCCATCTCACTACATCTTTATTGGGTGTTATTATAGTTACTCTTTTCTAAATAGTTGTGAGCATCCTATTTTGGACCAACAATATAATATAAAACTTAATGAGTAGTTGTGTTTAATAGATACTGTCTTTTATTAAAAGAGAAAATTGTCAAATAAGCCTTCATACTATATTCGAAAAGTCAATTAGTCTCTCGTACTTTAAAAACACTCATTAAACCCTCAAACTTCTAAAAAAACGTTCTATTGAGCGTTTTAGCAGGTCAAAAACTAGTTTCCACTTAACTTTTCACGTTGCGGGCCACATGGCAATTATTTTCGTTTTCCTTTATTCTTCTTCATTTTCTTTTCTCTTATCTATTTTTCTTTCCTTTTTTTCTAGTTCCCATGTTCTCCAATTTACCTATCATTCCCCATCTGCCACAACCCACAACTGGCCACAAGAGACGTGGTTCCTCCGTAACGTATCCAAAGTACTGAGCCAAATACAGCTTTTCTTGTTAGGACCTCCGACAAACTCGGGCAAAGGGCGGAAACTCCTGAAAGGGCGAGTCCTCTCCTCTATGCGAACAGGAAGAGAGTCAACGGTGCTGGTTTAGACTGCAGTGATTCACCCATGTTGTTTTAGGCTCAATTAGAGAAACAAATTGAGATCCTCCAACATTGAAAAATTTGTCCTGGACTCACTTCCTCAGAACTCCTTGGTGACTTTGTTGAAAGTCCAAGCCGTTCATCCGTCGATCGAAGGTCCAGAGCAAACGCTGATATTATTTCTGTAATCTCTAGCGAATTCTGGAAGCAACTCCGGCTATGATAGCCTCCCTCCTCTATGCGAATGAAAAGGAAAGAAACAAAAAGAAACAAAAACAAAAACAAAAACAAATAGTGGGCTTTTTGGAAGAGAGGGGTTTAAATTGATATGAAAGCATTAGCATTCAGAAAGGGAATAAAAAAAGTAAGGAAACACATATAACCGTCAGCCCGCGAACCAGACTCGGAGTTAATCAATCACTTTCAAACAAGCAATATAACTCGCTAATCCATTAATGGGCAGACCTAAGCCACATACGATTGAAGCAGACCAAACCTTACCTAATCCTAATGCAAGGGTCTTACAATAATAAAAGTAAACAACAGAAAAATAAACAGTCTGATCATAAAAATATAATGCAAGCAAACGGAAAAAAGAAAAAGATGTTTCCAAACTCTAGCCTCTCCTGCGCTACATGGCGGCGGTTCAGGAGGGGGACGATCCAGTAGTACCGAAACTTCTTCCTCGTGTTGCCTCTTATTCATCAGGTTCTCTACCTATTAGTGAGGGCCTTAGAAGCTCCTCTCAAAACTTTTAGAATTTTTTTCAACTCAGCCCTTTGGATCATGTAGAGCCTACTTGGTCATACTCATTGTTGTAATTATCTTACAACGAAAATCTACTTCTCCTGCGAAATTGGGGGGTTAATTCTTGATTTTTCCTAGCTCACATTAAATCTACTAGCTCATATTATCGCCAAAGTGTTCATGAGAGGAGGAGAAAACAATGAAGAATGCATATTTCTATTATTATGGGTTTTAAAATCTACAATTGACATTGATATATTTCCAAATTTCACATGCTTCATCTTAATTGACCACCTCTAGATTTATATTCATCATTTTGTAATTTAAAAAAAAAAAAAAATCTCAATTGAATACTACTCCTTATTACATGTATTAGTTGGAATTCCCAGTCTCTTTAAAATCTGAATGTGTATACCGATATACGTCCGTTCCTATCCACATTTAAATTGTTTTTCTCAATACAATTGTTTTTCTAAATTCAGGAAATTCTAAACACTAGATAATTCGAAATAGGGAGTATAATAATAGATTAATAGGAGTACTACTCCCTATAATATACTCAATATTACTAGAAAATTAATAAAAATATGTCCTCTAAATAACTTCTAATAAAGTTGTACTACTGGGAATCTGGGAACCAAGTCAACCAAACCAACACACTTAACGTGTGTGAGATATCCGTTAGTTCGTGGAAGGTAAAGCACACACTTTTACATTTCCCTGGCTTTACAAAACTGGCAGGTTTTGAGTCATGCAAAACAAGCTGTATATTTTTTTCACAAAGCTTTCTCCAGAACCCCGCTCTGAGATTCATTTTGACCTACCAAGCTTTCATCTTCCCTCTGAAATTTTTCCTTCAGTTCTTTCATTGATATTTGATACTACTGAAAATCAGTTATATCAGTCAATATCATGGCTTCAAGTTTTGCCAAGAGACAGACCACCAAGTTTTAAGGACCTCTTCTTTTGAATTTTTTGATTTTTTTTTTTGAATTTTTTTTTAAGTTTTTGGGTTGGATTGGATATTTTGGGTCATTTGAGATGGTTTGAGGTGGTTTGGGGTTGAGGGTAGGGGGTTGATTAGGAAAACCCAAAAAAAACAATTATATAGAACCGAACTGGGCCCGGCCCGAACCGGACCCGGGGTTACCCGGGCCGGTTCCGGGCCTCCCCTACCTTGAACTGAGGCCCGGCCGGTTCAAGGCCCAAACCGGGCCCGGCCCGGAACCGGTCCGGGCCTAATTGAGATGTCACAAAAAAACATTATAACATTCACAAATAACACATAATAGTCATATTGATGTCTAAACATAGCATGTAAGCACAAGCACCACATATGGACTCATCGTTGGATTCTCTTCGGTTGAAGCTGGATTCACAGATCTCCTGGCGGTTTGACTCATCGCCGCTATGACAAATTGCGACTTCCTTCAAATTCATCTTCATTATCAACACCAAAGAGACCGGAAGAACGAATGTTTGAAGTATGTTCATGTAACATGGGTTCAACTGAAATCCTCACGATGTACAGCAACAAAGCAATTAAAATCAGCGGAATGAGGCAGACACAGAATGTCATACCCAAACATAATGCAAATTCCTTCATCGTCTCAAAATATTCGTCTCGGGTCTCATAGGCTTGCGTGGATTCGTTTCGGTCGAAGCTGGGCTCACAGATCTCCCGGCGCTTCAACTCACGGCCTCTTTGAGATTTTCCGCCGCCGCCGCTTGGCAGCTCAGCCTGCTCTGAAGAACTTGAGAATACGGCCCTTTGACCGTTCGTTAACAGAGACAGTCCTCTGAGATCAGAGCGTTTGGGTTTAAGAATAAATTTTTGGTATATACCGCTAGGGTTCCGGGCTTCCGGCAGGGTAGGATATGGGGATGAGACCAAATTGGGCTCCAAATCTGAGTAAAGGAATCTGGGAAACTGAGTTTTTCGATGGGTGAAGAGGGAGGAGACGACGAATTGGGTGAGGACAGGCGAGAATCTCTTCTTCCCCGAAACACCATTCCTGGTGCAGAGATGAGGTAGAGACGAAGAAAGAAGATGTCCGAAAACCCTAGAGGTCTGTCTCCTAGCGAAACGTGAAGCCATGATATAAATTTAACTGGTATAGTCGTATAGAACAAAAGGAAACAATTTAATCGAAAACAATTCTCATTCTTATTCCTCTCCCAAGCTTTCGGTTATATAGACATTTACATGGGTCCGTTTACATCCTTCCAGATCCAGGAGACTTTGAGTCCTAACAGCAAACAAATCAGGATCAGTCATGCATTAATTAATAATCTGTAATAAATATAGCTTCCAGATCGGCATCGTGCATATGCAAATTTCCGTATACCAAAATTTTCAGTACTATCAAAGCAAGAATTGAAAGAGATAAAATATGATTGTCCAAAAACTATGATTACGATCTGGAAGGGCCTAGCATGATTAATTATCATATGTATAATCATAATATATATTATGATTAATATGAGTTAATCAATCACCTTCAAACAAGCAATATAACTCGTTAATCCATTAATGGGCAGACCTCACCTAATCCTAATGCAAGGGTCGTACAATAATAAAAGTAAGCAACCGAAAAATAAACAGTCTGATCATAAAAAATATAATGCAAGCAAACGGAAAAAAAAGAAAAAGATGTTTCCAAACCCCAGCCTCTCCTGCGCTACATGGCGGCGGTTCACTAGGGGGGCGATCCAGCAGTACCGAAACTTCTTCCTCGTGTTGCCTCTTATTCATCAGGTTCTCTACCTATTAGTGAAGGCTTCAGAAGCTCCTCTCAAAACTTTTAGAATTTTTTTCAACTCAGCCCTTTGGATCATGTAGAGCCTACTTGGTCATACTCATTGTTGTAATTTTCTTACAACAAAAATATACTTCTCCTACGAAATTGGGGGGTTAATTCTTGATTTTTCCCAGCTCATATTAAATCTACTAGCTCATATTATCGCCAAAGTGTTCATGAGAGGAGAAAACAATGAAGAATGCATATTTCTATTATTATGGGTTTTAAAATCTACAATTGACATTGATATATTTCCAAATTTCACATGCTTCATCTTAATTGACCACCTCTAGATTTATATTCATCATTTTGTAATTAAAAAAAAATCTCAATTGAATACTACTCCTTATTACATCTATTAGTTGGAATTCCCAGTCTTTTTAAAATCTGAATGTGTATACCGATATACGTCTGTTCCTATCCACATTTAAATTGTTTTTCTCAATACAATTGTTTTTCTAAATTCAGGAAATTCTAAACACTAGATAATTCGAAATAGGGAGTATAATAGATTAATAGGAGTACTAGCTACTCCGTATAATATGCTCATATCAACTTGAAAATTAATAAAAAGATGTTCTCTTAATAATTTGTAATAAAGTTGTACTACTAGGATTCTGGGAACCAAGTCAACCAACACACTTAAAGTGTGTGAGATATCCGTTAGTTCGTGGCAGGTTAAGCACACACTTTTTCATTTCCCTGGCTTTACAAAACTGGCAAGTTTTGAGTCATGCAAAACAAGCTGTATGTTTTTTTTTTTAACAAAGCTTTCTCCAGAACCTCGCTCTGAGATTCATTTTGACCTACCAAGCTTTCATCTTCCCTCTGAAATTTTTTCTTCAGTTCTTTCATTGATACTACTGAAAATCAGTTATATCAGTCAATATCATGGCTTCAAGTTTTGCCAAGAGAAAGACCACCAGGTTTTTAGGACCTCTTCTTTCTTCATCTTTGCCTCATCTCTGCACCAGGAATGGTGTTCCGGGAAGCACCAGAATCTCACCTCTCCTCACCCAATTCGTCGATTCCGACTCAGTCAAGTCTCCTCCCTTTCCACCCATCGAAAACCTCAACTTCCGAGATTCCTTTACTAACAGATTTGGCCCCAAGTTTAGCTCCAGTCCCAATATATACCAAATATTTCTTCTGAAACCCAAACGCTCTGATCTCAGTGATCTGTTTCTGTCAACGAACGGCCAAAGGGTCGTATTCTCAAGTTCTTCGGGGCAGTCAAGATGCAGCAGTGGGAAATGCCAGACCGGCGACGAGTCAAAGAGCCCGGAGATCTGTGGGACCACCTTCGACCGAGACGAATCCGAGCTGGCCGAGACCCGAGAGGTTGTGGAGAAGATGATGAAGAGTATCGCTTCACTGAGTAAGGCAATGAGTTTTCTCTGCGTCATTCCGATGGGTTTGGGTGGTTGGTTTATGATTGGCTCGGGGTGTTCTTCCATGCCTGATATTTTGCTGCCGACCTTCTTGGCCTCTGGGCTCTCGGTTCAAATGGCTTTCGTGATGATAAGGTCGCTGGAACCAATACTGTTGTTCCAGAGAATGGAGGCGCTGGGGAGGCTGCATACCACGACTATGAGCATAGAGATTGCCATGCAAATGAACTTGTTCTTTTCTCGCCTCCATGTGTGTTTTCTTTCTTGCATTGCTGTTGCTTCTGTTGGTTTGGTCTATGTTGTTTTCATTAGATAAATTGAATTTATGGGCAAAAATCCCGATTCGATATCCCTGATACCGTTCTGAAACTATCATTTTCATTTAGGATGCATTTTTTTTCATCTCGAATCGGTCCCGTATCGATATCCATCGGGATGAGACTAGGACAATGATGAAAACGGTTAGCAACACAAGAGGGGGGGTGAATTGTGTGTGTGTGGAACCGTGGCAGTTTTTCACCGAGTTCTAGTGTGGGATAAAGGGAATAGCTAAATAGTAAAGTGCACAAGAATTTAACGAGGAAAAATCCCTTGGCTCAAAGGGATTAAAAAACCTCGACCTCCCTCGGAGGAATTTTAAACAACTTCACTAAACAAGCCTTTGAAAGAGTTACAAGAGTGATTCTCCTAATCTACCCTTGAGCCTCCCCAACTCTATCCTCTCTAGGAAGAGTTATGCATCTCTACCTTGCGGGTAGAGAGCCTCTCAGCTTTTTCACAAAGCTCTCACACACACTTAACCCGAGGCAGCTACTCTAGCCAATTAAGCCTCAATATTCTAAGTACAATATGAAAGGGAAAAGAGAAACTCTATCTAGAACTCCGAGCGGGCTGTTTCAGGCGCCAAGGACTTGATTTCTTCTTGAATGATTCTTCTAAGTATATTTTTCTCGGTTTTCCTCCACCTTTCTTTTTTGGCCTGCTGTCGAATATATAGCTTGTAGGAGTGACATCCGTTGGCCCTTCTTTCCTTTGTAATCTTGAATTTCTTTCCTTCGAATGGATCTTTCCAACTTAGTCTCGATTGAGAGAGGATCTGCTTATGGTCTACGAATTCTCATATAAGGAATATAAGCAACGGACATATCTTTAAATACGGAAGCATTTTCCCAAAGGAAGCTTTTAGTCAACATTTTGTAAAAGGAAGCTATAAAGATTTCTTACCCTTTTAGGAGTGGATTCAATTTATTTGAATAACCTATTCATTAGTGTTACCGTTTGTACGGCCAAAATATGCTACGGATCCCAAAAGGTAATAATTCTATGCAGGCCATAATCGAATAACATCACAGAACATGGAAGATCATAGATTTCAAATGATCATTTAAATAAAGGTCTCGAATAGAACCGAGAGCGGTTCTAGTCCTGGTTTCTGCAAGGTTAGTGGCATATATTTTAAGGACCAGGTCTATCTATTGTTCCTGCATGGTTAGTCATCAACAAAACAACACGTTCAACAAATTCCCCCTTTTTGTTGATGACAAACCATAGGTGCCTTTCCTGCAAAATAAATCATAGTAGCATATGCAGCATAATCAAGTCACATAGTAGCAAAATAAAGGCACCTGATTATTTCCCCCTTTTGGCATCAACCAAAAGGAAACAGGAACAACCAAAAACAGTGCCCAAAGGTAAGTAGCAGTGTAAGTAACATTACAATGTGTTCCGAAAACCCACATCAGTTAATTTTTAGAGAAAAGTTTTTAATCCTCCTCATCATCTGAGGAAGGAACAATCGTTCGCTGGACAGTGTCAGGGTCCTCCAATTTCAGCATTATTTCTTTCTTGAAGATTTGTACCTCGCTGGCCAGAGCATCCACCTTTCCTGCTAGGGATGAAAGAGTTTCTGAATAGGTAGCAAGCTGATCTTTAAGGGAGCTGGCAACTGAATCCAGGTGATCCTTGATGAGGGAAACAATGTGCATTGGATCATGGGAAAGACCAGTGGTGGGTTTAGGTTTAGACTTAGAGTTCTTGGGGTCAGAGGAGGTTGTGGCAGAGGCTTCCTTAGGGATCATTTTGACCAGTTTGGAATTCTGAATCATGATCCCCAGAGTGTTTAGGGCCTTTAAGTCCAGGACCTTGTTGACGCTGATAGGGGGACAATCATCCAGAGCGATTTTTCCGAATATGAACATCTGGGTGAATAGAGGACCATAGGGAATGCCGATTTTCCTAGAGGATGAACCTATGGCAAAGCTCAGGTGGGACAGAATGAGACCAGGCAAGTTTATGGGGATTTTGTTTGCGAGGAGATACATGTATGCAAGTTCTACTTTGGATGGGGAGCTTCTACCCTCAAGTCTAGGAATTAGATTGTGGTGGACAAAGTAAAACACGAGCTTATGAATGGGAGCCAAGCTGGCTACATGTAGGGACGATCCATCAGAGGAATTAAAGTAAGCAAGGGCATCAGGGTGAGAGACATTGGTCAATGGCCATTCTTGTTTATGGTACCCACTTTCTCCGACATAGGGAATGTTCCACAAAGCACCTAAATCTTCTAGATCAAACAGCAATTTGGTATTCTTAACCCTAGAAACCATGACACCATCCTTAATTATCAGATTGGCTAGAAATTCAGACATGTACTCTTGGTGGACATGAAGGCAAGATTTTGAGTCAAATAGGTTGTCCCATTTTTGGAAGGAAATTAACTCAGTGAACTCAGTGGTTAGTTGTGAGAAGGTTTCGAAAGGTATAGTGAGTACCTTGACATAGTTTCTAGTGAGGAAATCCGCCTTGAGTTTGGCCGCATCTGCCTCCGCCACTTTACCCAGTTTGGGGTATGTGTTGACTGGTACGTTGCTGGGAATGATTCCCAGAGCTATTGCCTTTGTGCGTGGTACCTTCCGAGGGAGAGCCTTGCCATTGCGAGTCATAGGCTTTCGCTTTGCCTTGGTCAGTGACGAGGGGGTGAGGACCGGAGGTGATTTGGATTCCGTGTCATGTTCCCCCTGAGATGACGCAGGGGAGGGGGAACCTTCTTGCATGTTGACCTCTTGACTCGCTGTTGTCATTGCGGTGGTGAATGAGGAGGATTCGAGATCTATTTGAGCTGGAGTGGTGGAGGATGGAGGCTTTCGAGTGGTTCGGTTTGAGCGACGAAGTGGTGTAGCACACCTCTTAGTTTTAACCATGTTGGTTAGATATGGAAGGAAAATCTAAAGTAATTAAAATAGGAAGGAGAAAAGACTGGAAAGTGGGCGGCCGAATGGTTTTGGGAGAAGCGAAAGATCTGGAGGTATCTTTTCTTGGAAAGAGACGATCATGATGATGACTAATTATTAATCTTCCTAATTTAAACCATTCGCCCCTAACAACTTTCAAATTTGAATAAGGTCTGTATAAGGCCATATTTAAAATTATCCACACAATATTTGGTTCTGGAATTACTAAAAAAAATTTTTGTTTAAAAAGAACACCAGGATATGTATGAAGAGTGAAAAAATTTAAGCCGGTTTTTAGGAGTTAATTAAACCAAGTTCGAGTCTAATAATCTCAAACCTTTCTCTTCCCAGGGGCTTTGTGAAAATATCTGCAATTTGCTTGTCAGTGTTGCAATGTTCCAGTCTGATTAGTCCCTTTTCCACGCAATCTCTTAAGAAGTGATGCCGGATATGGATATGTTTTGTACGAGAGTGCATGACCGGATCCTTTGAGATGCTAATGGCACTTGTATTGTCACACATGATTGGTGTGCAATTCAATTCAATTCCATAGTCGCTTAGTTGTTGCATGATCCACAATGATTGGGAGCAGCATGATGCAGCAGCTACGTACTCGGCCTCCGCTGTTGAAAGTGCTACTGAGTTTTGTTTCTTAGAACTCCAAGAAACTAGACATGGACCTAGGAAGTGTGCAGTTCCAGATGTGCTTTTTCTATTAAGTAAATCACCTGCAAAATCAGAGTCTGAGTATGCAATTAGTTCAAAATTATCATTACGAGGATACCATAGGCACAACTCAGCAGTTCCTTTGAGATATTTGAGGATTCTTTTCACAGCCTTGTGGTGAGATTCTTTGGGATTAGCCTGGAACCGAGCACATAGACCTACGCCAAAAACTATGTCGGGTCTACTGGCAGTTAGGTATAGTAGAGACCCAATCATTCCTCGATACATCTTCTGGTCTATGTTCTTTCCCTGTTCATCCGAGTCCAGCCTATCATTAGTCCCCATAGGTGTAGTCATGGTTTTGCCTTCACTCATCCCGTACTTCTTTAGGAGTTCCTTGAGGTACTTTTGTTGAGATATTTGAGTTCCTTTACTTGTTTGCTTGATTTGTAGACCAAGGAAGAAGTTAAGTTCCCCCATCATACTCATCTCAAATTCGGAACTCATAAGATTAGAGAATTCATCACAAAGAGAATCGTTAGTAGCACCAAAAATAATATCATCAACATAAACTTGAACAACCAATAGGGCTTGATTTTTGATTTTTAGAAAAAGAGTTTTATCTATTTTTCCTCTTTCAAAACCATTTTCCAAAAGAAATTTAGATAGGCGTTCATACCAAGCACGAGGTGCTTGTTTGAGGCCATAAAGTGCTTTATCTAATTTGAAAACGTGATTAGGAAAATCTTGATTTTCAAAGCCCGGTGGTTGTTCTACATATACCTCTTCCTTTAGATATCCATTCAAGAAGGCCGTCTTGACATCCATTTGGTGGAGGGTGAAACCCATATGAGCCGCAAATGCTATGAGCATTCGGATTGCTTCTAGTCTTGCCACCGGTGCAAATGTTTCGTTGAAATCTATTCCTTCTTGTTGGTTATAGCCTTTGACAACCAGCCTAGCTTTGTTTCTTGTAATTTGGCCATGTTCATCAAGCTTGTTCTTGAATACCCACTTGAGACCTATCACGGTCTTGTTCTTGGGTCTCGGTTCTAGATGCCACACTTTATTTCTTTCAAACTGATTTAGTTCTTCCTGCATGGCTAGAACCCAGTCAGTGTCGGAGAGAGCCACTTCATGGTTCTCCGGTTCTATAAGAGATAAATAAGCAGAGAAAGCACAAAAGTTTTTAAGTTTAGATCTAGTTGTTACTCCCTGATTTAGATCGGTGAGGAGATTATCCAGCGGATGTGATCTATGAAGCTTCCAACCCCTAGGAGCGTTGGGTTGGTCCACCAAGTTGTTGAGAGTATCTGAAACTGGTTCTACTGGTTCTACAGGTTCAGTGTCAGTGTTCTGTCCAGGTTCTTCTTCAGTTCCAGATTGTTCATTTTCATTTGTTAGAGGTGGTTCACCAGTTTGATTGTCAATTCCTTCATCTCCTTGAGATTGTGATTTCTTGCGAGTGATCCCTAGCTCACCATCATCGGCATGGATTGATTTTGGGGCAAGTGCTTCATCAAAGATTACATGGATGCTTTCCTCCACACAT